TCCAGATCTAGAGGATTCATCCAACCGACTCTGATAGACATAGGATTGGAAATTGGTACAGTAGTATCGAAGACAATGAATTCACCATTCCGCAAATAATTATTAATGACTCTGGAGGCTTTATGTGGATCTTCCTCTATGTATTGACGAATGACTCGTTGAATGTCATCTTTTGATCCCCCGCCATTGAATAATACAAGATGGGTTGAATTTTCACGAATAATTTTTGGTACTTGAGTGAATTTATGCGAAATATATATTGTGGAAATATTACTATGACGCCCTCTATTAAAAAATGGAATAATACGATCCTGGATTGACTGTGGTTCAGTGCATAAATCCTCGAATATAATCACTGTGCGTCTTTTTGGATTTTTGAATGCTTTTAGATCTGGGATTTTATCAGGGGTAAGTGCAGTAAATGTAACATCTTCATAGTATGATTTTGAACGATCTGCTATTTTCTTATAGAAGTTCCTAACTAATCTATATTTAGGCTCGTTAATGAAATGCCCTACAAGCACAAGATCATTGCAACGTATGTGTCGTTCGCCAATTTGTTTTTTTCCTTCTTTTAGATCATAATACTTATCCCCAAGAAAAAGGTTTAAAATCATATTGGTTTTCCCAGTGTTGGATCTTCCACTCACTACAATATAGAAAGAATACTTTGGACTATCAATGTCATCTAAAGATTTTTTTGACAGCTTGATTTCGTCGACGTGGTATATATAATGATATTTCATTCTGATACTAGTTTAACTATATCTTTGAGATTTTTTATTCTTGGCAAAAGTGATCGGCGTGAAGATTCTTCACGCGCACTTGATTTTTTCTAATATTAATATACATAGAGCGTTCTCATTCAGCGTTTTCGCCGATCCCGCAAACTTGTTTGAAACCTGTTTGTGTAATCAAAATATGTAGATCATGCTCAAAGCATGTTAATGTAATGACATTTGCAGATCTGATGGATCTTTCAATCATGATGCTATTTAGTAAAGCAATCAAATATTCATCAGAAGTTGATGAATTGATCAAATTAATTACATTGTTTCTATTAATTATTTCTACTTCGATCTCACATAAAAGCTCAATTAATTTAAAAAACAAAAAAGAATTAGCTGATAGGAGTTTTTTATTATTTTCCATATCAATATTTTTCCCGTTTGTCTTGTTTTATTCCACAATTAAAATTTTCATTGGTTAAAAGCATTGATCATTTTATTTGCGTAAGCTTTGCGTTTTCAGGGGATAACTGTAAATTATACATGAGCTTAGCATGATTGGCATAAACTAAATTTAGACAAAAACTGGTTTTAAACAAGTTTGCGGGATCGGCAAAAACACTGAATGAGAATGCTCAAAGATTAGTAGTCGAAATGTGAATATCTTACCTATAAAGGAAATATACTTACCTTTTTTGTATAAGATAAACATTCTAAAAATCAACAATTTCATTATGTGCGCGCTTTTTTCCTACAATGAACAACAAAATTTTCTTTTTAAAGAGACTGATTTGGCAGAAAAAAATTTTTTTAATTAAAAAAGGGGGCATTTCTATTACTAATATTATATTTTTCTTTCCTAAAAAAATTGATAATTATTATATGCATAAAAATCTTCATTGTAGAATTAAAATTAAGATGGTTTCTTCATAATCATATAGTTCCTTAATATCTTTTGTTTACGAACTTTTGGACGAAATTAATGGTGTGGTATCAACAATGATAAATGACAACATTATTACTACTTTCAACAATACCAGCATCGGCAATATAAGCAACACTGCCAGCAACAATAATAGCAATGATAACAATAATATTATCATATTATCAGCAATACCAACGTCAACAATACCAGTCTGGCAATGCCAACATCAGCAATACCAACGTCAACAATACCAACGTTGGAAACACTGCCAGCAACAATATAACAAATTATATTGTTGTGTGATAGTATTGATAGATGTCAGAAGTTTTTGCTGCTTCTTTCATTTATCTAAAGTATGGATGATTAAGTGTACTGTTTTGGATATTGAAAACAATATGTAATTGTTTTCAATGATGGCGAATGTTCTTGCTACTTTCCCCATGAAAGGACTATTTTTCAGCAAGTTTTGCGCAGAGAGACTATTAATTACCGAATATTGTTGTAGCGTCATTGTGATAATGGTGTTTGCTTGGAATCCTCGCATTCATCATATTGATGAGAGTATTCAGAATATCATGTTGATAGCTATTGTGCCCCGTTTTTTAGATAGTTTTAAAGCTATCACTCCAATAATTGGTGATGATTCTGATAATTTGATAACTTGAAAAGTCATCTATCTCAACAAAAATTAAGACAAAGAAATAAATATTCAAAGAAGAACTAATCCAAAATGAAATATCTAAGTTGAAAAATAATAATTAGAAAAAAAATCATTTAATTTAAATATAAGAACTATATATAAGAAATCAATTAAAAATTGTTCTCACTGTATATGTAAATGTATATAATGTTTCCCATTTTATTTATTTTTTAAATCAGAACAAATAAAATTGTCAATTTTTGAATTGAACGAACGTTTCTTCATTTGTATTAATATTAATGTTATCCTTTGACTTGTTTTCTTCGATACAAAATATTAATAGTAAAAAATGCAAATTACAAAAAAGGAAAAGTACTGTTGTACTTGCTTCACCCAAAATAAATATAAAATACATGTTAAAAACCTTTATAAAATTTGTCTAAAAAAATCGGAATTATCGCAAGAAAACTAAATCGGAAGAGGAAACTTTGGCACAAATTAAGTAAATAAATAATTTATTTTTTTGAGAAAAATGTAAAAGGTGAATCAAAAAAGAAAAAGAAAAAAGATGATGAAAATTGGAAGCAAAAAATACTGGTGATCAAATGATGATAATAAAGAGTATGAATGTAATTTCGTGTTTATTTTTTACTTTCTGGAATTTGATGGCATTAATCAAATCATTAATTTTTCTCTTTAAAAAAAAATAAGATGGAGAAGAAGAAGAAACGGTTGCAAAGAAAAAAACCATGCTGGATTCCTTTACCAAACCAAACAAACCAATACTCTTGATGTTGACAAACATGTAATATTTATTTAATTAATTAATTAAAAATAATTGCAAAATGAGAAACAATAATCAATTTACAATTACTCAGGATGGCATATTGAGGAAGAAATACGAAAGTGTAAAGGACAAAGGATAAATCAAATCAAGAGGAAGGCAAAGAACAAAATGGTACCGCAGACCCTCGTGATAAGCTTTTTCAACCACCAGATCATCTACAGGTATTATCATCATTATCATCGTTAATAATCATGTAAATATTTTGATAAATTTGTTCATAAAAAATAATTTCATATAGATTGAAAGTAAACCGATATCAGAAGGCAAATGTTCAATTACCTACAACCATGCTTACTGCAATATCAGAAGTTGATTTAGGAATAGAGTTTGTGCTTAGAATTAATTATTTGTTTAATTTATTTATGACAAAAATATTTTAAAAAAAAATGCCAATGAATTTATTTTCTACAAGTGTACAACTTAAAAATATTGAGGAAACTGAGAAGGCAAAAATATTATTGGAAAAAATACATCAAAAATCAAAAGCTGAAAAGGATTCAGTAAATGAAATTTATTCATTGCAATTGATAATAATTATTTAATATATCTATGTACTGTACATGTGTGTATATATATATTAATTACTGCTATTTATTGAAATTGTCATTTTATAGTTTGAAGGATCTAGTTTTTCAGCTACTAACAGATGTAAGTAAAAGTAAATTTTGTTAATAAAAAAACCATAGATTGTTAAGTTATCATGTTCCAAAATCTTTGATTTTTAGTTTATTGCACATGTCCAACTGTGAGTGACCATGAAAGAATTAACAATGGGGGTGACCAATTAAATCACAACTCATCAAATAATAATAAGCATGGTGCTTGAAGAGAAATAGAAACAGATGATATAGTTGCTGAACGTTTTAAGAAAAGATTAAGACACTAAATCAATAAACAATTTTAGTGGCAGGTTTTTTTTTATTGCTTGTATCTTAAATTCACATTTTCAAATAATACTTGCCATCTAATTACAAACATTAATATATTTAATTAATTAAATTCCAAGTTATTTGTTGGTTGTTTTACCTTCATCAATAAAAGTAATGTTGTGGCTAATTTTTACTTTTATAAATCTTACATTTTTATGATTATGGTACAGTGCATAACACAATAAGCCATCAAATCACTGTGTTACATGTATCAAATTCAAGAAATATTTTCAATTTTTTATTATTACTTTCATTACAGTTAAAAAACCCAATCACGTGAACAATATTTTTATTCATTATTTCTATCAATTTCTTCCATAATATTATCAGGTATTCTTTTATGTGATTTATACTTTTTCAAAGCATACTCTGCTTGTAAAACTGATAAACCTTTCCTATAACACTCCATATATTTTACTGATCTTAATGCATATTTTCTTATTTGTTTTAATGATATAGAATCAAAGGCTCTTGGTATATTTACTTTTAAATCTTTCCAGGCATAATCACAATGTTGACTTACATACTTTTTGGCAGTTATTTTCAAAAAATTAAAAAGGTTTAAAAGGGCTAAAAATTTTAAAAATTATAGGCATGTGTAACATAAATTGGGCCAAAATTATATGCATCAAGTTTGGATGTAACATATAAAAATCACATGATTTTTAAAAGCTTAAGGCTCCTGAATCTAGCAGTACTTTTTTATTATCTCAATGATAGATTGTAGAGCTGATCAAAAGCTATTAAATATTGTCTTTATTTTTTTGAGATATTCAATATTTTCTTTTTAGGTTTTAAACTTAGTCCATTTTTATGTGATGGCTTATTATGTTACACACTGTAATATTCAAATTTATTTTTTTAAAGTGTTTTATTTACAAGTATGTGATACATATTTATAAACAACATTTTTTCAAAAAGCAGCATCACCTAATTAATAATATTAATATCAATAAAGGATTCATTAATAGATTAATTAGATTGATCAATTTATTATTTGATTTGATTGCAACCCTTTGAATCCTATTAAAAATATTCATACCATTTGGGAGTTTCACATGTAATTAATGATTAGTATTATTATTAAAGATTTATAGGTCTTGAAAAATATAGTAAATAAACTTTAGTTCATACCTCTCCTATGAATCTCCCCATAAACAATGTTGTGGGTAACTTTTCCCATAACAAATTTCAAATCTAGCAGTTAATCTATACTACCTCCATCAAAAATAATTTTGTAGAATAAATTTTATAAATGAATATTTAATAAAAATTTTCTTTACAGTAGAAATAAGTCCTCAGGTGATACTGACATCAAATTTTGTATAAAACAAAAATATCTCACTTTATGATGGAATTAGTGATTTTGATTTTAATACAAAATAAAGGCATTACACTATGGTGCACCAAACAGGTTAAGTAAATGTCACAATTAATCAAAGCAAAATTGTGTTACATCACAATTTTATAATTAAAAGCATCACAATTATATAGTAAAGCAAACATCATAATTAACTGTTACCTTGGGTGCTTTCAGCTTTGATTCTTCTATTTCTTTTATAAAATTATTAATCTTATCAGTGGTATAATACTTACTCTCAGGATTATAATTACAGCACTTTAATTCATTGTATTTTGTGATAATGTGCCTTCTCCAATCTGGTACCTTTTTTCCTTTATTTTTAGCATATTTCCCAGACAAAATAGCTTTAGCTCAGGTTACTTTGGAGTACATTTCTTTGGTGTTTCCACATACTTGATGTCTTCTCTGACCTCTACTAGATCACCTGCTTTGAATGGGTTCCTACTGTCATTGAGGGATTTTAGTACATTGCTAATATAGCTAAAAGTTTGAGTAATATATTCAAACATTTTTGTTATATTTTATATAGAATGCAGAAATGTTTAATTCAAAAATTTTATTAATTTATTAGTTTTCTTGTTTTGGTATCAACTGCTCTGCTTTGCTATGCAAATTGTTTTCACTTTGTTCTCTGCTTAATTACCCATTTTGAAAATTTGATGTGGCTAAGGTTGCTTGCTGAAACCTCTTAGTGACTGTCAAAACTCTGTCAAAACTCTAATGAACAATTAGTATATACCTTGTCAAAACTCTGACAATTGACAAAACCCCCAGATGTGAAACTCTGCCAAAACTCTAATTAACAATTAATGTATAACCTGTTGAAACTCTGTCAATTGATTTCTGGAGAAGTTTTGCCCACAACCTTAGATGTGGCCCAAAAAAATTATTACACCTCATAGAAAAAAATTAGTATACTATGTGACAAAACTTAATTATGTCAAAACTGATATGAATTTGTCTCTGGAACATCTTGTGAATATAAACTGGATAAAAATGGGGTAAATTATCTCAGAAAAATAGAGTTTTGTCCCAGAAATCTCATAATTATACAACATAAAAATGTTAAACAATATGTATAAATGTTGAATATAAAAATACAAATAAAATGATAAATAAAACAATAATAAATGATGATAAGAGGCATGGTGATAGGTCATTTCAATCAGATTAAACTAGTGATGTTAGCCAGTCAAGGTTTTTATACTAGCTAACATCACTAAGTTAAACTACAAGGAGGGTTTGCTTTAATTTAAAATAGATAGCATGTAATGTTTTAATTATGCAGTTCTTTATTATTATTCCAATAATCAGATGAATAAAATTTATTCATAAATTTAAATATCTAAATTTATTTGATTAGAATCTATAAAAAAATAATATTAATGTTAATATTGATATTGAATTTTAGATTAATAATCAAATAATTACCATTATTATTGCTATTTAAATTCATTTGATTAAAATCTATAAATAAAAATAATATTAATATTGGTATTGAATTTTTAAAATTAATAATGAAATAATTGAAATAATTACAATTATTAATACAATCTAAATCAATTTGATTAGATTCTATAAATATGATAATTTATAATATACAAAAATAATGTTAATGTTAATATTGATATTGAATTTTAAAATTAATAATCAAATAATTGATGATAATTACCATTATTATTACTAATGATTGTAACTTTATTGGAGTTTACAGGTTGAGGAAGATTTGTAAAATCCAATAATCTACTTGTATAAACAGCATTTGGATGAACAGTTGCCATAATTTTTGAAGGATTAAAGGGTTTTTTATCTGCTTCCTCAAAAATTTTTTTTATTTCTTTTAATTCACCAAGCTGTTCTTCAGAATAACTAGAAATATCAGATTCAATTGCATCTTTCCAAAAAGTAACAATTTTTAAAATTTCATCTGCTGTTGGTCTCTTTTCAGGATCAGCATCTGTGCATTTGTATGCTAACTTAATATAACATTCTGGAGTATTATCTGAAAAACTAGGCCT